GTGTCCTTACAATCTTTCTGGAATTTCCCATAGTCGCCTCTTACACCCACGAAACTAAATGAGGTAATGGATTTCCTATAATTACTATTATCTAAGCCACTTCCACACGAAATCAAAATCTCTGTTCAAATTCGAATACTTGAAAATATTTTTGTATTTGTTTTCAGACGTCGACGTAGTCCATGTGATCCCGAACCCGTTCCCGCACGTGTGGCACACTGCAGACGATAATATGTCTTCCTTAGACTTTAACACAATCGATAATTTAAATAAAATCTTGCGAGTGTTTGTTGCTGAATATTTGCACTTACGTCCTTAGCGCTTTGTACATAACATCATTCCGCCGAAAAATAACAGGGTTTGAGCACTTGTGTTGTACAAATACCGACCAATTTTTTTTTCAAAAGTGATCCACATACGGCAAAGGACACGAGGTGCTTTATTTATTTATGAATTGTGTTTATTAAAGCCGAGAACAAAGCCTATTTAAATTTTACAAGAATAAGATGTCGCTAAATTATTATGAAATATAACGTTATGTATTGAAAATAATACTCATACGGTTAAGCAAGAAAATGTCTGCATTTTGGCTTGAATTTTAGCTCATACCGACCACACGATGTAAGTATTCTTTAAAAGATGCAATTAAATAGAATTTTATGTTTTTATTCTTATGAATCGTGATGGATTTTCTCCCCACACGGCAATGATGATATTATGTTAAATTACATAAATTTTATTTATATTTATTATAGGTATCTTTATTTGTAATACCTTAAATATTTTTTTACAAACGTTTCGTCAGTCTGTACTCTTAAAAAATCAGATAAATCAAAATAGTCTTTATTTATTTTATGTTGTATGACTTTTGTGTTCCATTATTTTTTTTAAAAAATATGATAATTTATTTTGTAAAGGACCCATTATCACATTTATTATAAATGGATTAATTTTCTAAATTTATCCATTTCATTAAGGTCTATTTTCGACCAACCTAGGTGTTATTTATAAATACCTAATAGTTAACACCTTTTTATATATTTAAGAAGTTACTGGTATGATCAATATCTTTCCCCTTAAAGTGGATAAAGTGACGTTTAATAAGTGATCCATACTTGAATCTTTGTAGTAATCGATTGAAAAAAATAATTAAAGTAGGGTCCATTTAATAGATCACATTTGACATCTGTCAGTTTTAGCTTCATAGTGAGGTGACCTGCTTAAAAACATCGACTAAAGTCAATGAATCGATACTGACTTCCAAATATATGCGAGTAAAATTACAATATCTATAAGTACTTTTTCATAATAACTGAATATGTACTGTAATTTAATTTAAAAAAATTAGCAGTCGAGCCCCGGTTCCATTATTATTTTCTATCGTAAATTTAAGGAACAAAATAAGACAAGTATATAATTTAACAAAAAATAGCCTTTATTCGGTTGAACTATCAGAACTGTAACTAGTATTGTCATCTTCATCACTGCAATCAGCATTCAGAGATATTATTAATTCATTTTCAATAATATTGTCTATATTCACATCTCGTTCAAAATCTTGTAAAATTATTTCCATTATTTTCTCCACGTCCTTTCTCCAGTCTTCTGTAGTGACTTCTGCATACGCAGTTTGTAGCAGAGTCACTATTTTAGCAGTACTGAAGGGTGGTTCAGTATTGTCCTGGGCTGTATGACCCATTATTATATATGCCTAAATAAGCTTGATAACTTTATACTGGCAATAGTAGGAAGGCAATCGAATAATTTCGTGTCCATGCTTTAGAGCTAGTTCATCGATTACACGCCCCGTTGGCTTCGACGGCTTACTTGCTTTTACCAGATTTAACAACTTAACTTTTAATAAAGTTGGACTTGTTTCCACACAATTTCTTACCATTCACGAGACAATTTCTTACTTTTTATTTGCTTAAGTTGGTGGTTTATCAACTTGTACAGAACGATACGGTGCATAGTCCATAATATTTTTCGATGGGTTTTCTAAGCTGACTAGCAGCTTCTAAAACCACTATTTAAGAACCTTAAAGTTCATTTCTTCATGGTAATCACTTGTTGTTTTAGACGCGAATGCGAGGAGGCAGTCTGGAATGAAACTTTGAGAAGCTGAGCCCGCGTGACATATAAATAAAGCGGGCTTCTTTTCCCTATGGAACTTTTGAGGTGGAGGCCGCTGTATCATCGGTCTATGTCTGCGAAACCGTATGGTTTGCATTCAATCATGTTTCGTCAATATTTAATTTTATTTACTTGACGTAAGAATGTTACTCTTCGAAATAATTTTGGAGCGTTCCAGCAGGATTTTCAGCTTGTCAGATTTTTTTTAAAACTAAAGCCAATCGATTTTAAAATCTTAGATAGAGACGTTTTACCGCCAAAAAATAAGCTTGTCTCTTTTAACGAACCCAATAGCTTGTCCTATATAGGATTTTTTTCGGGTAATATCCATAAATTGGTTGCGAATTGCAGTAGCATCAAAATTATCAACGCCAACAATTTTTTTGGTTCCTCTTTCTTTTTTTAGGTGTACATAAAGTCTTATATTCTGAGGCATATTTCTCTATAAGAATGCGAGTTACTGTCCTTTTCCCTAATCCAATGCTTCGGCAAATACGTTCTCTCGGTCGTGTCAATGGTAAACGAGGCGCATCGTTAACTGATTCACGTTCAAAATAATTATACAATTTCACCACTAGTTCGCGGAGTCCAATTTATAGCCAGGTAGGTAAACGTCAGAGTAAGTCTAATAAAATCATCAGTCTAATAAAAAGCCGGGTCAGAAGAAAATAACAGAGCACATCATAAAACCACAGCCACTTCGCACTACGACAAAAGACAGATTTGTTGAATTTTGATGAAGTGCCAAATGTGATCTGTGGAATTGGTCCTATTATCGTACAATTTACTACAAAATGTACTTATACTATTGTGTTATTTGTAAACGTACTTAAAATTATTAGGTTTTTATTATTTTAAAAAAGTAAATTATTATACTCTTATTACCGAAACAGCATGTTGCGTAAATAAATCAATGTTAATAGTTCGTATTTAAATATATTCTAAACTGAACTAAGTCGATTCATGCTAAAATAGCTTCAGTATCATTGTCTCCGCATTTAAAAAAAAACAGTAATAATATATATTTTGAATACTTTAACTTCATTTTTGCGTACATTGTTCAACGTTTTAAGATTGTGAGATTAGTTAAGATGTTATAGAAACGAATTATCTATACTAATTTAGCTTCACAAATATTATATTTGATAATAATGCCTTAGTGTCACATTAGGCTTCGGTACAATGTAATACATTTTGCAAAATTGTATACATTTTATTGCAGGCGACTGTACATAGTTGTTTAGTATAAATATCATTGTTAAATACAGATATAATATATATTGTTATAATATTTGTTCCTGCTCTGGTTGTGTAAATTGTTAGGATGACGACTAACCTAAATGCTTTGTACTATAAACTTAATTTGACTTACTATTTTTAGCTTTATAAGAATTAAATATACAGAAGCCAGGCAAAAGCCACATTAGGTTAAACAGACTGACCGCATTTGAGTATTTTATCCCCTTATTCCCCCGCAGACTGCAGATATTGACAACGGTTACTATTTCCGCATACTGTCAGAAGCTTTAAATGTAGAGAGCGCTACTCATACAAAGTTTACTAAGCCTAAGCCTACTCGTACTTCGAACTTCGAGCGCTTTGATGTGTTTATAGTTGTGTTATTCTCGGCATACCGCAGACGCTTTCTAAACTGCATATTAGTATTTGCATAATATGGCAAATACTTCTTATCTTGTGCTGTGAGCGGCATTAATAAATTGATTAGGACAATTATACCACGATTTTGAAGTCTGAACAGAACTGTGTTTCTGTGATAATTACGATTCGAAATAGCTAAAGAAATGCCTTATGCCTTTATAAGTATGCAAATCTAATGTAGTGTTCATTGTGGAAAAAAAACGACTATTTATATTGAAATATGTATTTTATTAGAAATTATAAATGATTGAGTACATCATATTATTAAAATTTTATATTTTATCAAATTAATAGACGTATTAACTCAGGGGGCCGTGGTAGCTCTAAGGGCTCGCTGTAAAATTAACCAGTACGCGAGCCGAGTTTGATCCCTGCCTGAAGATTGTTTATTGAAATTTTTAGTGCTGATTAAATACTTGCTCGGCGGTGAAGTCAAATATCGTGAGGAAATTTGCATGTCTGAGAAATAGGAAAAAAAATTTGAAGATGTGAAGTAGTTCGCCAACACGCATTAGGGCAGTGCGGCGGACATTTCTTTGCCCTAAAACCCTCTCAGAAATGGGAGGAGGCCTGTGCCCAGCAGTGGGACGTATATAGGCTGTAACACTTTCTAAAATTAATATTAAAGTACTTAATGTATATAAATTCAACTTTTTTAAATATTAACTGCAAATAAAACTAGAAATCCAATGCAGAATAAAACCATATTTTATTTTCATATTAAATCAACAAATAAATAAAATGTTGGACTATATTTATAAAGATAAAAAATGGATTCTATTATTTTTAAGTAATGTATAACATTCCTATATACAATGTTTTATAGATAAAATATACATAAAAATAAAATCGTAAATGTTGACAATTATTTTGGGACTTTCATTTCATGGTTGTGTATATTTATGTAATAAATTCCCTAGAAATTCATCTTAATTTTATAATAAGAGATATTCAAAATTTTATTTATCACAATAACTAGAAGTTGAAGAGAGCATCGGATGTGAACACAAATTTTGTAATAAAATTTACTGTTTCTGCCATAGCAACACTCAATATTATATTCAATGACTAAGAAATTGATATTTAATAAATAAGGAAGAGAACTAAAAAGAGTGCAAAATACCAATTAAACCTAATATTTTATTAATTTCCTACCTAATATATAGCCTAATTTAATTCTTAACATTCATCAAAAATTTTATTGATGCTTAAAATAAACTGTCCAATATGGAACCCTTAAACTTTTTCATGGCTTTCTCTTCCATTTCGTATATTTTAGAATCTAGATCGTTTCTTGTATTTTCTTTCTTTTGGTGCCCAATTTCTGATTTGTTATTTGGTGATTTTGTTATTGTTGCGTCATTTTTACTACTACTATCAATGTGTGTTTCTACTTTTATATTTGTTTCATTATTTGGAGATACTCCTATTAGCACAGACCTGTTTTCGTTACTTTCATTCTTAATAATATTAATATCAGCGGGTATTTCACTTTCTATATTATTGCTATCTTCAATTTCTTGTGAAGCTTGTACTTCAGCTGTCTCATTAAAAAAACTAAATTCTCTTTTTGATTTACTTTGTCCCCCGTTATCTTTTAATGGTGTCCCATTTTCATTATCAATAATGTCATTAACTGCTTCGGCAAAACTTATATCTTCGCCATTCGCATCTATCGAGTTTGTATCGTCTATAAATTCGAAATCCTTACGCACTAACGCATCTTTATCACGGATAAACTTATCTACATCTTTTTCATCTCCATCACCTTTCATCTTAAATCTATTATTACTATTACAACATTTATCTATCCTGAAATCTTCTACAAAATTCTGGGTATCCATTACCCTATTAGAAACGCCTAAATCGTACTTCGACTTAGTATTGATACTGGTATATTCAGTTTTATGATGCATAGCATTGTCTTCTTCTACTTTCCGTTTTGTGCGTTTTATTTTAGTACCAGTTGCATCTTTGTTTTTCTTTGATATTTTTGGTGAAATATTTATTTCATCTTCGGGTAAAATCTAAAACGTTAAATTTACGTAAATATTATATCAGAAAATTACTTTGGTATTTATAAATATACTGTAGTCGCCTTAATATATGTCCAATTTAGAAAGCCCAGTATAGTTTAAAATGTTTTCTTGTTCATCATAATGAATATTACGGTACTTTTTTATTTATTAAGGTTTACCAATGTTTGATTACACTGTATTTAACAAAATGGCTTAAGAACTAACTTACGTAGCTAAGTGTAACAATTGTTTAAAGTAAACACCACATGCATCAAGAAAGATTATAAATACGATTAAAAAGAAGTATAATTACCTAATAACGAAAATAAGTATATGGTAAAAAAAAACTATTATTATTTGTTGGTTTGAGGTAAAGCTAGAACTATCTTAATTTTGACAAATGAGTCGGCGTGAATGTCAACTTTGTCACTATGTCTATTTACCAATTTACAAAACCTTGGAATTAAGAAGTTTGCACCTAAGACAGATTTCCTAAAAGGAGGGCAAAGTGGAGTAATGGGAGCGCGAGGAATTCTCAACGGAACACGAAATTAAAATTTTTGGAGCAAGAGGGGACAGTTAATTTTTCGATTAAAAATTTTAACAAGAAATGACAGGTCAAGCAAATATCTCCGATTTTTCAGGGATCAAATTTTAAAGAATCTTAATCGTTTTTCGTAAGACCGAAGTTAAGTAGGGGTAACGAGTGTGTCGCATAAAGTGGCCTCCATACTACACTGCAATACTCAAGTATGCTTCGTAGGAGGCTGTTGTACAGTAGGATATTAATGTGGTTATTTTTAAACACTTTAGCGTTACGGAAAACAAAGCCTAGAATTATATACGCCCTTTTTGTAATATTCTCAATGTGGGGAACGAAGGTTAATATTTTATCGAACACTATTCCCGGGTCTCTAACTTCCTACGTACTTGAACTCATGGGATTCATTCATCATTATCATCATTACAGCCCTTCACAAGTCCACTGCTGAACATAGGCCTCCCCCAAGTAACGCCACAAAGCACGGCCCTGAGCCACCTGCATCCATCGACTTCCTGCATGTCTTACCAGGTCGTCACTCCATCTAGTGGGGGGTCGCCCTACACTACGCCTACCGGTACGAGGCTGCCACTCGAGAACCTTTCCTCATCGGTTATCGGTTCTTCGAGCTATATGGCCGGCCCATTGCCACTTCAGCTTACTAATCCGTTGGGCTATGTCGGTCACTCTGGTTTTACTGCGGATATCCTCATTTCTGAGTCTTATCACGCAGAGAAACTACGAGCATAGCCCTCTCCATAGCTCGCTGAGCGACCTTGAGCGTCCTCATACGGCCAGCGGTGAAGGATCACGTCTCTGATCCGTAAGTCATCACTAGCAACACGCACTGGTTGTACAATTTAGTTTTCAGAGATTGAGGTATACCTGACGTGAAGATGTGTCGTAATTTCCCGAACGCTGCCCAGCCGAGTTGAATCCGTCGATTGACCTCTCGGTCGAAGTTGGACTTAACTAGTCGGACTATTTGTCCCAGGTAAACGTACTCGTCAACAACTTCGAGCATAGTGCTCCCAACAACTACGGGCATAGGTGTGACATGGACATTAAACATGATCTTTGTTTTGTCCATGTTCATCTTAAGACCTATCCGTTGGGAGACATCATTGAGGTCATTGAGCATAGTGCTAAGGTCCTCCAGCGATTCTGCCATAAAGACTATATCGTCGGCAAATCGAAGGTGAGTGATGTACTCGCCATTGATGTTAATACCGTATCCTTTCCAGTCCAGTAGCTTGAAAACGTCTTCCAACGCAGCGGTGAAGAGTTTCGGGTATATAACGTCACCCTGTCTTATACTTCTCTGCAGTTGGATACGCTTCGAACTCTGGTTCTGTACTCGGATAGCCATCGTAGCCCTACTGTACAAACACTTCAGCACTTCGATATACCGACAGTCAACTTGGCACCGCTGAAGGGACTATAGCACCGCCCAAATTTCGACGGAATCAAAGGCTTTCTCATAGGCCACATACGCCAGGTAAAGTGGCAGATTGTACTCCTCGGTCTTCTGTACAATCATCCGCAGGGTATGCATATGGTCTATGGTATTGAAGCCTTTTCGGAAACCGGCTTGTTCGGGAGGCTGGAAGTCGTCAAGTTTGCGTGCGAGACGATTCGTAATGACTCTCGAAAACAGCACGTAGACGCGGCTCAGTAGGGAAATCGGTCTGTAGTTCTTCAAGACACCGTTGTCGCCTTTCTTAAAGAACAAGACCACCGCATTTCTGCTCCACGCCTCCGGAGTAGTGCCACCATGGAGGACGGAATTGAAGAGCTTCTGAAGGACTTCAAGTACCGGTGTTCCACCCGCTTTCAGAAGCTCCGCTGTAATTCCATCCTCGCCTGGGGTCCTGCCGTTTTTAAGGTGCTGGAGAGCCATTCTAATCTCGCTCAGACTGACGTCCGGGATATCATCGGAATAGTGTCGGGTAAGACTTGCTCTTGGATCGTTACTCACACTTGCGTGTAGCTCCAACGATGATGTGTACAGCTGCCCATAGAACCTCTCAATCTCACTCAAAATCTCAGGTGTCTCGGAAACGATGCTGCCACACTCAGTCTTCAGCTTTGACAGTTGGCTCCTTCTGGCAGACAGATCTCTGGCAAAGACTTTGGAGCCCTGGTTCCGCTCGACCGCTTCTTTAATACGAGCAGTATTAAAGTTGCGTAAGTCTCGCCGCATGCATTTGGAGATCTGTCTGTTCAGTTGCCTGTATGCTGTCAAATCTGTTGACGATTGCAGCCTCATCTGCCGTCTAACAGCCATGAGATTAAGAGTGTGATTGGAGAGTTTTTGTGTTCTTCTGCGGCGGGTCTTGCAGAACTTAGCTCCGACCGCATGGACAGTTTCCACGAGCTTGTCATTCATATCGTCCACTGCATTGCAATCTTCTAGGCACTGAAAGCGGTTACGTAACTCGAGCTGAAATGTCTCGGGATTCCGGATTAGAGCACGAGGGGGACGGAGCGTTGACTTCATTAGACGAGACCTCGCCAACTTAACCTTTAGGTTCAGTGTGCCTCTACCCCCCCGAACGGGTTCCCGCCTTGTCGTGGCGGGGGGGCTTAGTAGCCGTGGCTTGGTCTCCCACGGTGAACAAAGAGGAACCCACGTGGCTGGCCCGAGGTGAAGGGCCGGCCTGAGGTGGCCACTCCGAGTGGGCTTGGGGAGCCCACTTCGGATGTGTGCTGGTGGACTGCAGCGAGTGGGGACTCCGCACCCTCTACCGTTGCAGCCGAGGTGGAGTCGCGGAGGAAGAGGAGTGTTGGTATGGCGATGCGCCACTCGCCCTATCCTCCGCGACTCAACGGGGCCGCACCGTTGATGCGGTGGTGATGGGGCTGCGGGGGGGAGAGAATTGTCGGTATTGCGAGGCGCCGCTCTCCCTATCCTCCGCAGCCGAATCTTGGTTGGAGGCGGAGCCATAGACCAGATCCGCCGCTGGGGTCGGGAAGGCTAGTACTTCTAAGTGCTCGTTTTTCCTGGCCCCATGACCTTCGCGCATCGGACGCGGGGACGTCTGTTGCGCAGATGCAATTGGAGGCCGTGGAGGAAGGCGTGCCATGTGTTCTGGTGCGCCTTACTTGGGAAGGAGAACGGGGAGGAATATTCCTCTCCCAAGGAGGTGCTGCCATGGAGCGGCAGTCGCTGGTAGGGCCGCGGAAGTGTGCGAAAGCGTTCCCGTAGCCTTGCCAATATGCGACGAAGGTGGAACACCATGGGGTTTTAGTCGGGGCGAGTCCGACATAACCCGTCCTTGCCCCCGCGAGGCGGGTATGCGTAGGCATTTCCCCATGTTAAAAAAAAAAAGTGTGCCTCTAAACATTCGGTGATCGCTGCCGGTTTTCACCCTTGCGATCACTGAGACATCACTGAAGAGTTGGCGTCTGGTCGTCATAATGAAGTCAATCTCATTTTTTGTCGAACCGTCTGACTCGACCAGGTCCACTTCCTGTGGGGCCGCTTCTGGAAGAAAGAGTTCATCACAAAGAGTCTCTCTTTCTCCATAAAGTCAGCCAGCTGCTGGCCCTTACGGTTCCGTTGCCCTACTCCAAATTTCCCTAACTTCAGCTCACCGCCTTCTCTTGTGCCTAGTTTTGCGTTGAAGTCTCCCATCAACACCGTGTAGTGGGTTTTGGAGGAATGCATGGCTCTAGAAATATCCTCATACATTTTCTCCACCTCCTCATCGGGATGTGCCGAGGTTGGTGCGTAGACCTGTATGACCTTCAGCGAATACCGTTTGGTGATTCTGAGTATCAGGCACGCGACCCTCGTCGACACACTCCCAATCTCTACAACGTTGTTGACGAGACTTGTGGACGATAAATCCGACACCTCCTTGGGACAGATGGTCGCCCTCCCGGTGATAGAACAAGTTGCCGGTTTCGAGGATTACCGTGTCCTCCCCCTCTCTTCGGATCTCAGATAATCCAATAATATGCCAGCGCAACTTGTCTACCTCTTCTTCCAGCTCCAGTATCTTCTCGTCAGTCCTCAGGGTGCGTGCGTTATACGTTGCCAGGTCGAGTCGTTGTAGGTGGCAACCGAACCTCCACCGGAGATTCTTAGCACCCCATGCCCCGCCGTTACCATGGTCGCCACCGTAGCCAGGAATAGCGGGGCCGCCGGGGACTGGGGGCCGTTTATTTGCGTCGTTGCTCATGGTTGCCACGCGTATATTTGCCATAGTTGCCACGCTTGGCGAGCGGGTTGGCAACCGCAGTTTTTTATTGTTATTGTTGTTATTAAGAAGATGCTGCTGCCCATCTCCTGCCTGTTTCCCTGTGTCGCCTCTTACGACACCCACGGGAAGATATGGAGTAGTGGATATTCTCAACCGCCACTACACGGCAGTTGATGATGGGATTCATTTATAAAGCATTTTTATTTTTAGTCGTAATTTGTTTCTTTTTAAGGTATACTTGTATATTGTAAATATTTATTTATATAAGGTTATCTGTCCCAGACAGTTCTGTTCCACCCTTTGTCCTAATTCATCACATAAGTGTTAAAAAAAAACAACGCGGTAGCGCAATGGCTGGGCATTTAGCCGCGGACCGGAAGTTCAAACTAGAATTTGTATGGCTTACAAATGATAGCATCAGGTCTTGATGTTTGTCCATATGCAATTTATACATTTTAATCGCACCCATAATAAAAGACAAATTCGAAGTTTATATTTAAACAGTTAACATAACTAGGATAAGTTGTAAAATAAGCATATAATAAGACTGTTTTCAGTACAACAAAACAGTTATTATGTGTCTAAGAAAACACACATCAGTGATTGAAGAAGCATCCATATAATTTGCCATATTATATTAAATAAAATATGTTTTCTTGCCTCTCCTACAATTTTCTTTTTGTTTACCTTTGCCTCATCCAGCAGAATGCGCCATCTCGTCTATAAAAAGCACAACTGTCATTTAGGAGTCAGTCTTCACCAATCACAAGCAAGCAAACAAACAGCAAACTTCTTCCCACAATGCTGTGTTTTCTTACACACATAATAACTGTTTTTTTTATAATGCAAAACATTCTTATTATATGTGTTTCTAAAACAGCATTGGATGAAGACCTGTTTGATATCTGCTGGTGTAAGAATACAGAAGCTATTTGAAAAATAAAATTGTATATAATAATTCACTCTTTATTCAAACCCAATGATTCAAACTACAGAGTAATAAACAACACTTAAATGTAACAAACATCCGAAAAAGAGAGGAGTTATAATAATTAAATATTAGAAAAATTATTTACTAATAAATAAGTCCTCATTAAAATTTCATGTACTAGTAAAGTCCTGTTAAGAGGCCGTGCAGAAAATTTATTCGATAGAGTTTAGGCAAATTCGTTGCGGTGCTATCGTTTACGTACACACCGCTAAAGACCGAGCGCAGTGCTCGCTTAAACAATTTTGATCCTTTAGTTGATAATTATTTTAGGATACATAGTAAGTACGGTTTAGAAATAAAAGTCTGGGATGTTTTTGTATAATAGTTTAGTATATTTATTACAATCAACATAAAATGAAAATAAAAAAGAAATGTGTTAGACAAATACACTATGCATATATATTTAAGTAATTCAATGTTTTCGATCTGCGACGTCATTAATGTCTGCTAGAGAGTACAGGCAAATTTAACATGTCTTATTGGTATTTGCCCGAAAATCAAACATCGTGATTTCATTAAAACAAAGTTTTTGTAAATGCAAAACATTTAAATTTAAATATTAGGCCGTATATGAGAAACGGAATGTTAAAGGGATAAATAAAATACAGAGCACGAGTGCGTGACGTACACGTCAAGTAAATACTTTGATTTTAAAATTGATAATACTCGTTTCTTTTATAATATTTACTCAATGTTTTGAATTTATTTTTATCCATGAGGGATACAAAGTACACATTTTGGCAAAAATAAGCCGAACATGCTAAAGGATACTTGTATTTTCGATAAAACATTCGGCCAAATTTGGTTTAAATCTATGTCCAATATCGGTTAAAATAAAAAATAATTAAAATGTTGTGTCTCTCAGAATGGTATCTGAAATGGGTACTAATCATTAAAAAAAACTATCAAAAATAAAATATCAATGAACATAGCAGACGTACTGAGACAGCAGCCGGGTCTAACTATTAGGTACTAAGAACCACCCAGGTGATCCCATACGAAGAAAAAACTCATATAACAAGAATTACGAACACGCACACCTGAACTTTTTATATAAAGACTAGGCGTGCAACATATTATTATTCTTAATAAACAAACTATCCAAAAAAATACACTGATCAAAATTTGGTGGTTGGCGTACAATTTCTGGAAATGTTTACGTAAAACACGGGAGCGCCTGCGATGCAAAGCGATACGTCCTCGCCCTGGGAAGGCCCGGTCGGCACTGATCGGATCGATTTTGCGCGGTCGATAATATAGTTCTCTTTGCCATTTAGTAATAAACGAAATTATTGTTTATTTATGAAATAAAATTTAGTTTCCAATAAAGGGTTATCTTAAGATTAATGTGTAATTTTTTTAAATAATTAAAAGTGTTTCTAATTTCTATGTAATAGAAAAAAATACTTATTTCGAACGAAGTTTTCTGGAAATTACGTTATTTCAACAATTTTTTCTGCTATATTTGGATAGAAATTAAAAAAGAACTGATCTGGCTACAAACAAGTAGACCGTATACTTATGTTATTTATATTTTTTAATGTTTGAAATATTTTGTAGTTTCGTTGTAAAACGAAGACAAAAATTACTTGATCGTTACTTTTCGGAAAAAGGGTTGTGAATATTGGTGATTTGCCATTATTATATAGATAATATGATACATCCCTTCAAGCCAGATATTAGATTAAGAACTAGACTATTATAATAAAAATAAAAAAGTTAAAATTCGTTTTCCTGTTCACACAAACAGTGATCAGATTTGTCCGAAATGAGTTGATTTTGCGCACGAGGCCTTAACTCTTTTTCATTATTTTACGCTGTTTTAATTCTGCATTTATTAATTTGGTGACATATTTTCTGCAAATGCTATAAAATCTTTTGTGTTATTAAAATTCATTATTTACTCTAAGGGCTATTAATCCAGGTGAAGCCGCAAAAGACCACCGTAATTTGGATTTGTAACGAATTCCTTTCCATGTCTGAGAATGAATGAAAATGAATCAAACTGTTGCAGATGGTTAATTTTAGCTACACGTTCTTTAATAGTTTTCTTTTCTTCTTCAATTTTTTTTGTTATGGAATTCTGCATGAAGTTCACCCATCTGTAGCTCTTCATTAGTCTTAACAATTGTGTTAAATAACCTGATACCTACCTGATTTATTAGTTATTCAATACGAGGGTCAGGTACTTCATTTTTATAATTACGTCTCTTATTAGTAGGTGGACTCGGTAAGCCCTCTTCATCTTCCAAAGACGAAGACTCCCTCTGGTCACTAGATAAACCTAGGTTTGGTCGAGAACACTACTCTTCTTCGGAAGCATCAGGCGCCTCTATTCACAACACTCATCTTGTTCAACTTACGTAAATACTAGTTAATCACTGTGAATGAGATTAATTACAGTGAATCTGTCTTGTTTATCGTTCAAAACTACTCTAATAATCAAAGTTACTTTAACTCTTTTCAAGAACAATACTTTTGCGAGTGTATTTACGCAGCAAATCTACAAACTAGTGAAGGTGCGTATTTATGCGACCAGGTTTTTATACCAGGTATTTACTTGCAAGTGCGCCGACCAAGTGCCGTCCCAAAATACTCGCAAGACTTCAAAGTATTTCAATATTCTCGCTCTGTCGACACTTGACGCAAATCTGCTCCTTATATATATTCTGTCACGGATCAATGTTCTATCAAGGTATATTTACTTTAATGGAATGGAATTATTTTTTTTAAACGCGATGGTGCTCTTTATTTGTACATAATTACGGATCAATGTTCTATGCAAGTATTTTTCTTCCAACAAGGCTTGAAAGTTGGAACTTTTCAAGGTTTGGAAGTTTTTTTTTGTAAACGCGATTGTGCTCTTTATTTGTATACAGTTACGGATCAATGTTCTATGCAAGCAATTTTCTTCAAACAAGGCTTGAAAGTTTACTATTTTAGCATAAGCGATTGCACTCCTTATTTATATGATCTTACGGATCAATTTTCGATGCGGAAAGAAAATACTCAAAAGTATCTTGAGCCCTGGTTTTTGGCGCTGGTGTCTGGTATATGAAGGTGGAAGTACTTGGAAGCCCTAGTACTTTATTTTGCAAGTACGACCTATGGAGTATAGAGGTAAGGAGTACAGACTCTGTATAAAAAAGTGTCCGTAGGAAAGCGTTAAATAAGGGTGGCACCACTGTAGCTACAGTCTAAATTTTAAAGACCTTTTTGTAAATTTTTTACTGCACAGACTCTCACCATAATTCTATTTAAAATAATTATTTTATTGCTTTCAAAATTTTTATTTTCAAAATCACTCTCTAACCTATTTTACGGCGATTTATCATACCCTGTAGCTACTCGAGCGCTGTTGTGGAGAGATTTTGAACTGTTATTTACTGCTTACAGATGGACACATTTTCAACTATTTTCCTATGGGAGATTGTCCTCCTTACCTCTATACTCCATGGTACGACCGATCTCTACTACAAACACTATGACTTATTAATGACAGTTGTGCTTTTACATAGACAAGATGGCGAACTCTGCTGGATGAGGCGAATGTAAACAAAAAAAGAGTGAAGGAGAAGTAAGAAAACATCTTTTATTTAATATATTATGGCAAATTCTATGGATGCTTCTTCAATCAATACTGTGTGTTTTAGAAACATACTTATAATAAATAAAATACCAACTTTAAATATAAAATCGTGCAAAAAAAAATTTAATTTTACCTCATCAGTCTTAAAAGGCGTCATAAAATCATTTCTTGCTATAACAATGTCTTCTAGGAATGCATCCAGCAGCAGCAATTTATTTAATGATCCTTTGATATCAGTTATTGAAGTCAGGAAATTTTCTACATTAAATTTTTTCTCTGAATACAGCCAGCTATAGATTGCATTCAGCATTTGAATATCTTTCTGAAATAAGAATAAACGTTTCCATAATTAAAAAAACAAACATGTCAAAGAAACAAAATATTTTGAGGGCATATGAATTCTGTTAACCCACTCTAGAGTAACCAATATAAGCTGACGAATTAAACAACTGAAGCGACAATAAGCTGGACAAAATCTGATGCAGAAATAAACATCGATGAATTAGACGCGTCTTAGAATGGAGATCATAATATACAAACTTGTTTATCTTATTTATGGTAAAGTACAGTACAGTACATGTACCTTAGTACAGGCATGAGATGCTGAGTACGGACTAGACGGGCCCCGCTATTACATCATATTTGATAGAACACAAATCCTCGCGAAAGAATATCGATTCCAACCAAGAATTATACGTGAGGCTAATGAAATTAAAAACATCCTAATTTCAATAGAGAAGGAGGCTGGGTACGACTAACTGCTTGGGACCCTGTAATTAATATAATTAAAACTAAGCCCAAGCATACCACTGTAAGACTTTAAAACATAGTACATTCATTCTGCGTAGATTGGACCATAAACCATAATTAAAAAGCTGAAGGTACTCCGGGTTAACACTTACATCGGGATGTCAGTCACCTCAGTACCCTGTGACCATGTTAGGAAACGTAGGAAATTAAAAATCAAATAAATATCCACGATAAAATCTCTCTCACCTTTCATTCTGCTTACTGTCACTGTTTTGAGTTTTTTCTCGTGTGACGTAATCGGAATAGTTATATTGACAAATACCTGAACTGAAAAGATTGTTTTAAAATTTCCCATTCCCAGACCATTCATATTCAGATGTCATTGTCGAAATTAGCCAGGAGACAATAACATAACTCAGCCAAATGGTCTCTATATTAAAATGAGTGGGGGCCCTTTTTCAGAAAATATCAGAGCTGGAAATAGGTATATTGGGTGGCCAAATATCAGGCACTGCATCATTAATAGAACACTTATTCTTTTTAAACTGTTTACCGTTGATGTGTGTAGTATGGTGGGTGTAGAGAACCGGAGACCCTTTTTACTGGAAACGAGGCATTCCATCGTAGTCCTCACTGTGAGCTGGATGTCTATGGGCGACAGCAACCACTCCATCAGATGGACTGTGTGCTCGTTTGTCACCCTTATCCTATAAAAATATATTTTATGCCAGTGCTTGGCTACTATCTCAGCTGATGGTAAGTGGTGGATCAGCCGAAGATGGTAGAGCAAAGTGACTTAGATTAACAAAAGCCTACACTCTTAGCACATTATAATTGGATAGAAAGACAGATCATCATCATCATCATCATTTCAGCCCTTCACAATTCCACTGCTGAACATAGGCCTCCCCCAAGTAATGCCACAAAGCACGGTCCTGAGCCACCTGCATCCATCGACTTCCTGCATGTCTTACCAGGTCGTCACTCGCATCTAGTGGGTGGTCGCCCTACACTACGCCTACCGGTACGAGGCTGCCACTCGAGAACCTTTCTTCCCCATCGGTTATCGGTTCTTCGAGCTATATGGCCGGCCCATTGCCACTTCAGCTTACTAATCCGTTGGGCTATGTCGGTCACTCTGGTTTCACTGCGGATATCCTCATTTCTGAGTCTATCACGCAGTGAAATTCCGAGCATAGCCCTCTCCATAGCTCGCTGAGCGACCTTGAGCGTCCTCATACGGCCAGCAGTGAAGGACCACGTCTCAGATCCGTAAGTCATCACTGGCAACACGCACTGGTTATACAATTTAGTTTTCAGAGATTGAGGTATACCTGACGAGAAGATGTGTCATAATTTCCCGAACGCTGCCCAGCCGAGTTGAATCCGCCGATTGACCTCTCGGTCGAAGTTGGACTTACCTAGTCGGACTATTTGTCCCAGGTAAACATACTCGTCAACAACTTCGAGCATAGTGCTCCCAACAACTACCGGCATAGGTGTGACATGGACATTAAACATGATTTTTGTTTTGTCCATGTTCATCTTAAGACCTATCCGTTGGGAGACACCATTGAGGTCATTGAGCATAGTGCTAAGGTTCTCCAGCGATTCTGCCATAAGGACTATATCGTCGGCAAATCGAAGGTGAGTGATGTACTCGCCATTGATGTTAATACCGTATCCTTTCCAGTCCAGTAGCTTGAAAACGTCTTCCAACGCAGCGGTGAAGAGTTTCGGGGATATGACATCACCCTGTCTTACACCTCTCTGCAGTTGGATAGGTTTCGAACTCTGGTTCTGTACTCGGATAGCCATCGTAGCCCTACTGTACAAACACTTCAGCACTTCGATATACCGGCAGTCAACTTGGCACCGCTGAAGGGACTGTAGCACCGCCCAAATTTCGACGGAATCAAAGGCTTTCTCATAGTCCACATATGCCAGGCAAAGTGGCAGATTGTACTCTTCGGTCTTCTGTACAATCTGCCGCAGGGTATGTATGACAAATTATATATAATTATAATATATCAATATTATATCAAAGACAGATGCTCGCAAATTATTCCACTTCTTTTCTATACGCATTATGAACTACGAAGCAAACCGTTTGTTTTTGTTTGTTTGTTTGTGTGGTATGTCGATAACAAATGGGTGGACCAAGCCGAGCGAACACATATAACATATAATGAGAGCAACAACCCTCTTATGTGCCTATCATCTAACTTCAATAAATAAAAATCAATAGGATGATTATTCTTACTCGCATGTCGATAGTTGTCAGCCATATTTTATAAGCAGTGTTAAAGGATACTTTTAACAAGTCCTTTGGCACTAAGTCGTTCTTCACGACAACCACGCTCCAATCGCGCCGGGAATACGATGCTGCTTCCGTTGTATTCTTGATGAATATAGACTTCTTCACGAAAATATTTGTCGGATCAACTACTATGTCCTCTGAAATAAAAAATAAAAAAATTATTCGATCAAAGGAAAATGAGCCGTATTACTTGTTAAGCTCAGTTTAAATTACAAAGTAGTCGATTACAGCCGGCATTGATCTTAATCCGGACGTATGTAGGGGTGAAATTATGAAGTCGCCATTTTAATGGAGTACTTTAAATTAAAACTGCATGGTACAAGATTCGTGTTTAAAACTAGAAATTTTTTCTCCAAATATGTATAAGACCACTCCTAATCAGTTCACAATTGACGAAGATATCGTGTAACATACAAAAAATATATACAAAAAGGATGCAGTCGAATTATTTTTTGTTTTCAGGAAGTGATTACTAAATGCCTTTATAGACTGTGATCTTGAATTTACGACACCGCTGTGCTCCGAGTAGCCGGTCTCGTATTTTACATCTGGCGTAAACGAGATGGTTATACATACCTACTGTTGCGCGCCACAATTTATGCCTGGTACAAGGCGACACTAGTTACCACTAGCGCCTTCTAGTGTCGAGTAGCAGAACTATGAGAGTAAAGATCCTTCTAGAAATTTCCATGGAAGAACTTTCTAGAACAATCGACACCTAGTCAGTCGGGACCGGTATGTACTCGAACATTCTAGATGTTTCTACAATAGAAGGTTCTAGAACTATATAACACGCTATATAGAACGCGAACCGGGTCAGTATTGAATTGACGATTCAAGAGAATATTTCGAAGCATAAGAAGTACAACTGCGACCAAAAGTGATCAGTCATAGTATAATTGTGTTTTGTTATTAGTATGGTTTTAAGTTGTAATTAGTGTTAACACGCTACCGCGTGTCTAGATTTTTATAAAACTGCTAAAAACAACACAACCATATCTTGGGCTTGCCTTAGTTTGGAGCCCTAGCTTCGCCATTGTACATGATTATAGTTTTGTAATTGTATATGTTTATATGGCTCTGATTGTGTGTCTAAATATCTATCTAGTTTTATTGCTGGCTGTGTGGATTTACATTCAATATGAAAATAATAATGATATGTAAATTACAAACATACTTATAGATTGATTTATTGATACATTGCATGACTAACAGGCATGTTAGTTATCCTGCAATACCTTAATAATTATTGTGCAACTGTAGAACGAATTGACCAATTGAGGTCATATTTACACAACAAACATGTTTTATCGAGGTGATGGCTCATAGCTGTTTTGATTCAACAGGTGGCGCTGCAGTCAAGTTATTATGAACCAAAATTAGAATCTGACAGCTGGAGCTGTGGTTGAGTTAATAAATGTTTCATTTGCACTGTAAAAAGTACGGACTGAATTTATATGTGGTAGAGCCACACTGCAGCTATATTATGGTTGTAGCACGAATTGGTTGGATCTACCGGGGAAAGACCCCACTCTCACGGAATACCAGCTTAATACTGCTGCGTTTGTGAGTGTAGAGATCCGGAGACCCTTGTTTACTGGAACCGAGGCACTCCATCTTAGTCCTCAGGAATGACTACGAAACTGCATTTTGATACTTAATCGAGGAGAAATGTAGATGTCTATGGACCACAGCAACCACTCACCATCAGGTGAACTGTGTGCTCGTTTGCCACCCTTATTCTATTTTAAAAAAAGAATTCAGAGAGAAACTTATTGCATCAACTACCAGAAAGGCCCCACTAGCTGTTCTAAACTATGGTGGGTAAGATGGAAATAGATATAATAATATCCAACCAACTGTAATAATTTGAACTGTTTAGTCAAAGACAATTGACCATGAACTTATAAGGTATATTAATATTAACTTACATGTCCCAACGTTTATTTCGTCATAAGTATAAAACCACAAAAATTGCATGAAAGGAAATAATAGGTCAGGTAACATACCCTCAGTATATTTTGTCCACATCTTAAAAATGTTATTCCATTTGTTGACTTCCTTGTCATCTTTACACAGAATTAACACAGGATTCTTCAATATCTTACGAACAGCATTTAAGAATAATACTACTTGTACAGTTTTCCCATAACCTTCAGGATTGCTCAGTATTATACCCTGTTTTTTCTGTTAATAAATGTATACAAGATCTATAGTATATCAAAGCAAATGAAAAAGGCAGTAGGTATACAGCCAGTTCACTGTAGAGAAAAGTTCTGGTGTGTGTAGTAGTCTTACATCAGCAAACAAAATTTATTGAACCCCCCTGTGACCTTAGAAGATACAAAGTTTCTAGAGTAGTTATGATAATAAAATAATACAGTGGATAAAACCATGTTGTTTTTTCATATACATACACTTTATTGTGGCATATTTTACATGAACACTGCTGAATATAAGTTGCTTTCGTATCTCAAGTCATGAGGGAGGAGATGAGTTATTGAAAATTTTATATAAAAAGTCAGTTTACTGAGTTAGAAAGAGGGTTGAAGAAGGAACGTGAGGAAGAATGGGTGTCACCTTCTACCAATTTCTTCCAAAAATAGTTGAATGACACTAATAAATGCCTTAAATTCTTCTTGTAGTGCTTAGCAGGCTAGTGCCATTGTGTTCACCAGTAAACTTTCTCTTCACCTCTTCGCACATATAATGTTTATCAACTACAAAGGGAGGACTTAATGCACTTAGGCTTCATCTCCTACACTGCTAGTTTACCATCTTAAAGGTACTGTTAGATAAGGCATTCATAGATTCCTACATGGTTGGCAATCAAATGGGTTCTCAAATCAATTCCCTGAATCAAACCACGGTTTCAGATTGATCTAAAAGTCAATTCCTTAATGTCTAATAACCAATTTTTCATTATTACAAGATGTGAACTGGCATGTATAGATTAGCCAATACCTTCGAAATGATAATTCTGCTCACCGTCATATTCATTCATTCATTGAAGCCTTTAAGGAGTCTACAGCTGAACATAGGCCTCCCCACTAAGATTGCCTCTTATGCAGAGGATATTTGCCATAGTTACCATGATTGGCAGACAACTTGGCAATGGCAGTTTTTATTTACCTTTCTCATCTCTTACAACACCCAAGGGAGGATATCAGTCAATGAATTTTCTTAATGTAGTGAATGGCAAATTAACTTTTGATTAATAATGCCATTAAAACACTAAGCCAGTATAAAGTAATGCAGATGTTTAAATGGTGCTCCCACACAGCAATTTCATAACATTATATAACAATTTCATACATATTATGTTACATATTGCATTAAATTGTTAGATGTTATATATGCTCTAAACACCAGTAAAAACTTTGAATAAACCACAACAACACCAGACAACAAACCAGTAACACATTGAATAAAACTAAATTTACGGATTATATCGCGTTTATTTAACTGATTTTACTTATTTTTAATTCCCGACATTTCGGGTGCTTTACAGCAACCATGGTCACGGGGGAGGGGGGGGGGCTGAGATGTTTGACGTCCCAATGTCATTGTTAGCCTGGCTACCTTCAGTTTTTGAATATTAATTTTTGGTCCGATTTATGCAAAACGAACTTACAGTATCTTGAAGTCTTGCAGTGGTATGCTTGGGTTTGGGTTTAATTTTGTTAATTATAGGATCCCAAGCCGATGGCAGCACCCAACCAACCAGAAATTAGGATGTTTTTTAATTTCAATTCAAACCAAACCATTCTTAGTAGTACTTTTCAACAATACTGTAGCACAGCAAATAACGACGTTGATAGTCAGTTAGTTTAAAAAGTATTGGTAGAATGTTGGATGTGAGATTTTACTTCAAAGAAGATATTGTTTTTTTTTTTAATAATTCTATGAGGATGAATCCCTCTTTATTCATATATTTTTGTGCAATAAAATATAAATGATTTTGTTTCAAATAAGAAATTATAAAAATTATAATAATTAGTCTCACACATGTCACAAAACTTTGGAAAAATTTAGTATATATTTGTAACAGCTTTTGTTAAAGTAAAAACAATAAAAGTAAAGTTACAGCCTATATACGTCCCACAGCTGGGCACAGGCCTCCCCTCATTTCTGAGAGGGTTTTAGGGCAAGGAAGTGTCCGCCGCGCCGCCTCAATGTCTGTTGGCGAACTTCACATGTCTTTAAAATATTTTTAGTAATAACAATAAATATTAGTATTTGATTAAATTATATTTTTCTTTATCCAATCCTTATTAGAAAGTAACCATTTATGTTCATAAAACTGTTTTGGAATAAGCTTATAATATACGCTGGAGGACCCAAGCACTATGCTCAACGACCTCAATAGTGTCTCCTAATGGATAGGTCTTAAGAAGAATATGGACAAAACATAAGTCATGGGTAATGTCCATGTCACACCTATGTCGGTAGTTATTGGGAGCACAAAGTTGTGGTCCTTCACTGCTGGCAGTATGAGGAAGCTATGAGTCGCTCAGCTAGTTATGGAGACAACTATGCTCAGAGTTTCTCTGCAAGATAATCTTACGCCTTTAGCCCAACGGATTTATAAGCTGAGTGGCGATAGGCCGGCCATATAGCTCGAAGAACTGATAACCGATGGAGAAAAAAGGTTCTCAAGTGGCAGCCTCTTACAGGCAGTGTATGGCGTCTCCGCACTAGATGGAGTGACCTGGTAAGACATGCAGGAAGTTGATAGACGTAGGTGCCTCAGGACCTTGCTTTGTAGCATTCCTTGTGGCAGGCCTATGTTCAGTAGTGGACTTGTGAGGGACTGCAATGATGACTTTTATACTGGGTTTACTGGACCCGGTAACAAGTACTTGTGCTACAAATTAGGATGCAACTCCCTAAGTGTTAATAATTGAATTCTTACTTTATTTTGTGATAAAAATTTAAACTAACAAATGTGTAAATTTTTTAACTGTTGTGTGGGAACACCTAAAGGATGCAGTGTTTGATATGCAAGTACCTAACCCTTAATATAACAAACATTTGAGTTTCATACTTACATGTTTGAATTGTCTAAACAAAAATCTTATTCCATCAATTTGATGCTGAGGAAGTGGACATGTATCAACATAAACTTCTTCATTTCTCCTTTTATCAAGGTATAACCTTTCAATATAGTGATTGTTTGTACCAATCATTTTAAACACAGTGTCTGAAAAAAGATTATATTATGAGTGCTAATAATGTCCTCCAGACTGAATTTCAGTCATGGCGGCCGGCCTCCGACAATACACATAACAACACAGGAGTATAGTACCCAAGTGCATGTGCAAGTACAGGTGCACCCTCTATTTCCTCACTCCCATAAACCAATGGGACAGTAAACCGACACAACCGGAGAGAGATCAGGCAAAGGACTAACGGCTTTACGTGCTTACCGAGGCACAGGGGTAAGACACCCCAACTTCATAACTCCAGCAGTTACTGAGAATTTCTTGATGGAAAAACTCAATAAGTTCTTTTTTGGCCCAACCAGGGACCACATGATCTACAATCGCACTACTACAACCACTAGACAAACAAAGCAGTGAATGATATGATATATGTAAAACTATAGAATTCCGGTACTTGCGTCCGGGGATGGAGTTAGGGGTTGGAGAGGGCAAGAGTGCAGGAGAAGCCCCACTATACTTCCACCTTTTAGGGAAATGTATAGTTTATGAGTAATGATTTTTTTTTGTAAAATCAATACCTCACTTTTTACACAGGAATATTGGCTCAGTTACTTCTGTAACAGCTCCGCATCTTTGGCTTTCGGTGACCAGCTTCAGACTTGTTTCTTGAATTTGCCCCTACGGCTTTACAAAAACACTCTAGGGGTAGGGCAGACAAGACTTGGACTTGGAGTCGGGGTGTGCTGATTAGTTTTAAAACAGATTCGATTCAAAATCTTATTTATAAAGTCAGGTTGCCCTAAGCTCTGCTGTGATAGTGGTAAAAGAAACAATGTGAATTGTTATAATTTTGTTTTCTGAAAAACCTCTTGGCTGCCACTTGCCACTTGCTGCTCCCCATTGCGACTCAATTTGTTGTATTTAAGTCCCTACTTCAGCCACAAATGAATTGTTTGGATCTTAGTGATTAACCTTTTTATGGGTATATATGTGTTAAAAAAAAACATATTTCCATATTTGGGTTTTTTATATGCAACTTTTAGTGAAATTGATGTTTATCATAATAAATTCAAAAAGCACATTTCTAAAATCCAAAAACAGTGTAAAAGGTTAAAGCTTAACCCTGTCAAACCACCTAAATCAAAAACAAAATTCAAAAATAAAGTACCGGACGTCTACTTCATATTACCAGACCAAATTGACATATTCGGGTTACTTTATCAGCAATTTTTAGTGTATTTTTTTATAGTAATTACTTTTCATTGCATTACCAACATCTGAAAACCCAATAAATAAGTTTGCATTTTATTATAAGCAATTTTTTAATTACGATAAAAATGAAATATATTTTTATCGTAATTAATTCAAAAGGCATTTCCAACATCTAAAAACAGTATAATAGGTTCAAGCTCAACCCTAATAAGCCCCCTAATCTAAAAACATCATTAAAATCAAGTACCGGATGTCTATAGCCAACACAATGCTTATATTTAGGTACTTAATCATACAAAACTAAAACTCCAAAATACAACAAACAAACATCTTTTACAACAATGATTTCAAAATGAAGGATAGCCCCATCTAAATATTTTACTCATAATATTTTCATGCAAGAAAAAGTAGCGCATCTGTTGTAATACAAACGTCATATCAAAACACGACATAACCAGGGTCAGATTTCATAGTACGATTATCCTAATTGTACCATTATTTCATAGTTTGTAGTATATAGTATTGTAATATACAGAGCGAAAATACCATAATTTCTCTTTCTCCTAAAGGTCGACTTGTATTATTATTGGGTCCTTTTACATTTTAATATTAACCCTACGATATCGAGAATTTTTGTATTGTACATGAGTACCACGTTTTTATAATATAATTAGAATTAGCTCCCTTTCTGGTCAATCGATGCTCGATCGCATTTATGTTGCATCCTTGATACAACTATGATGAGGGGCTACCACGATAAAAACTCTATGCTCCAGAAGCATTAGGTTTTAAAAAAGAATTTCAAAATATTTTATGAAACAGATTTTGAGATTCAATTAAGCAGATATGGTTTCTTTTGTACTCTTTTTGTTTTACCCTTATTGAATACAAAATACATTAGGTATATTCAAAATTTAACTTACACTAAGTTCTTTAGACAAAAATTAAACAGAAATAAAAATAAAACCGTCAAAAACCGAAATGTATAAATAAACTAGACGTGCGACGCCAAAATCCCGGCACATGATGGGAAAAAAGAAACATGAAACGTCAAATGTGATATAATTTTTTTTAAATAGTATAATTTTATTTTCTATGTACAATATTTTTAAGGGTCTGAATCCAACCCTGGCCTAATCTTGGTAACGTGACTAAACTTAAAACTTTAAAAATGTGTTTATATAATAATTTAATTTTAATAAAATTAATATAAGGTTATTTACCGATGATACGATATCCCATGTTTTTTTTATTCTATATATCGTAATTTTTGCCACGTAATTAGACATATTTATGACAGGCAAATCTATCCTGCGCGCGCACTACTGTCGACCGATTCGCGTTGGCCCTAAACTGTAATTTTAGGGCCAGCGCACTGGTCTGTTTTAATTGTTCGGTCGGCCCGATCCTTACGCTAGTAATATACAAGTCAATGTTTTACAATGAGTCATATCTATTCACTAAGATTGCTTGGAATTAGGGTTGGGTCGGCTTTAGTAATCTGCTGCACGATTTAAGTGATCATTTTAGCTTTAGTTGATAGGTAATGATGCTATTGATTACCATCTAGCTGCTTTTTATGCCGGAAATCCTTAGTTTTCGAGATATCGATAATTTTAGTTTTGAGGTTATGTCCATTTAAAAATGATACGAAACGAAATAACAACATAATTATTTGATCATTTTAGCTTTAGTTGACAGGCAATGACACTATTAATTATCATCTAGCTGTTTTTTTATGCCGGAAATCTTTAGTTTTCGAGATATCGACAATTATAGTTTTGAGGTTATATCCATTTAAAAATGATACAAATACGAAATAAGAATATATTTATTACAAAGAGATAGCAATAGAGCATGGTCTGTACTCTGTTTTAAAAAAAAATAAGCAACAAGGATATAATTATTAGAAAGAGATAACAATAGTATAGTTTGTATGATCTATTAATCTATTTATAGTGCTATCCTACTCTAACATACGATGTAAAACCACGTATTGTTTTTTAGTCACCATCCATTCCACTTTCGCCTTCGGACTTTGAATGTTTTGCGCTCATTTTTTGCTCCTAATTCTTGACCCTTGCTCGATTATCGGACCTCCGTTTACCGCCTGCTCTATTTTCGACCTCTGCTTGTTTCTTGGACCTGTGATTTGCCTTGACGAAGACCCGTGCTCGAATACCGGACCACCGATTTGCCCTACGAAGACCCCTGCACGTTTTCTTGGACTTTGCCTACCTGTCTGTCTACCTGAGAGACCCAAGATGGCCGACGACTCTACGCCGTCAACTAGTTCGGCCGGTCCGTCGAACGCAAGCGACGCCGCCGCAACGGATGTAGTACCCTTCGCGGAGCTTTATGGTGATTTTGTGCGCAGGCGTTTATATGTGGAAGAAGGAGCTAAATTTTTTAATTTACCCCGAATCGTGCGAGAACTCGGTACCAGAGTACAGTGTGTGGAGTTTGCCATTGAAAATGGCTTAATCCCTGCCACTAAGGAGTGCCGCACCCATAGAGTGCCAATGAAAGTGGTATATGGGCAAAATAAAAATGTGGGCTCCTTTGTTTGCAATAAAGGAAATTGCAGAGCCCGATCCAGGGTAGCTCGTGGCAAGGGCACCTGGTTTGAAAATATTAAAATGTCATTGCCACGGGTATTCTATCTGATGTATTGTTATGCGCATCGCTGGAGCTATGAAGATGCAATCCACGAAGACCCAGAAAAAGATATAGAGGGAGGCTGCTTATCTATGGCGACTGTCTGCGATTGGTACAATTACTGCCGGGAGACAGTCGTCATTTACCAAATAGAGCAACAAGAGGCCATCGGCAAGATTGGTGGCCCAGGAAAAGTAGTCCAAATAGACGAGTCAAAATTTGGAAAACGGAAATATAATAAAGGTAATTTGATTTTCTTATATTACAGACTGAAACAATATATTTATAATAATAATATAATGATAATTAAATTTATTTCAGACCTACATATAGTCCATAATATGTTAGTAAATTAGCTTAACCTATGTTAGTCTTAAATTATTACACATTATTTATTTTAAAGTTTACTTTTGAACCCAAATTATCTTTTAATACCTTTTATTAAATATATTTGAATACCTTTTAAAGCCAAAATATCTGGAAGAAATCAGTTTCAGAGTGATAAGACAGCCTGTTGTACATATTCTGCTATAAAATTTTGTACTTTTGTATTTGTTTTTTTTTTTGTAATTTTGTACTATTGGGTTTTGGTGTACACTGTACAATATAGAGTAAATAAATAAATAAATATCTTGAATATTTACTAACTCTAAATTGTTTATTGTTGATTTTAGGAAGGCAGATTGAGGGCCACTGGATCCTCGGCCTCATTGAGGATGGAAGTGAGGATTTACGACTAGAGGTGTGCCCTGAAAACATCAGGTCAGCGGACATACTAGTGCCCCTAATTAAAAAACATGTGGTTGAGGGCACCACAATCCATACAGACTTCTGGAGGGCTTATGATTGTTTGGGGCAACATGGGTACATTCACAAGAAGGTGAACCATTCAGATCCTGAGAACCCATTTGTTGCCCCTGATGGCACTCATACTCAAAGAATCGAATCGCAATGGCGGGTGGTTAAAAGATTTTTCAGTAAATACAATTATAACCACCCGGAAAACTTTTCAGACATTATTATAGAATATTTGTGGAGAAGGTCAGTGCAAAGAAAAAAAAAGGATCCTTTTATGGAACTAATTAAAGTAATTAACCATGTATATAAATAAATGTTTTTATAATATTATATTTGCTCATTTCTTTTGATCAAACCCTAGTACCAGAAGGTATAAATCACAAAACCGAATCTGTCAACCCCAACTTCCACGTGGTCTTTCCGCTCTTACCCCTAGAGTGTATATGAAAATCCGGAAGCGCGGAGGGAATGCAGCCCTCGCCCGCTGTAACTAAGCGCAGGCAGCGTACGAGCCGTAGCGGCTGAGGCTGGTCGCCGAAGGCGACCAAACAGCCGAAGCTGCGCAGGTGAGCTAGGTGCCTGTGCTTAGTTACGCAAGGGCGAAAGGGCTGCACTTCCCGCAGCGCTGGAGCAGAAGCAGAGTCAAAATAGTGTTAATTCCCACCGTTTTTCCCACCCTAAATACTGCCACATTCCCACCGGGACCCGAATGTGAGTTTTTCGTCGCCGGACGCCCTTTTTTTATTAAACGAAAGCGAATTTTCCTTAAATGTAACAAAACTTTAAAAATTCATAAAAAAAAAGGGGGGGGGGTTGCCGGCACTTTTTCCTTTCAGGGGGAGGTTCCTCCCCCTCCCCCACCATATATTCATGCAGCAGATTACTAAAGAAAACCCTTAGGGTTAATAGTATTATGTTTGAAGATTAAGTAAGGTTTTTCATAGATCATAATATCTCCAATAAACTTTAATACTTACAGTATTTCAGATAGATGTACTAAAAAGACAAGTTTTGATTTAGCCTGTTCAAAATTGATAGCGTCATGATTAATATATACAACATTTCAAGATAGAAAAGCGCCACAAAAACCGATACACTTGTTTTGTGTATTTCTATATCTTCAAACTCCTGCATAATGTGCCTGTTACGGTAAACATGATCCCAAAACATGAGAACCGTTAATTTCTCCTTTTAGAAAGATAATTTTTATCCTATTTTCAATTTTTCCTTAGTACTTTTTGTTCGCGTAACACATGCTTTTAAATTAAAACTACTAGCAAAAACGGTAAAACTTTTACGAAGAGAAATCAACACGCCATAATTATTGCCCTTTTATGTTGATTATGTCTCAATTCATTCAAAAAGGAATGCTATGAGAAATGATAGTCACAGCGAACTTTATATACAACTAAACTATGAACAACTAAAAACAAAAATCTCGGATATTACTACGTAAAATCTATTACAGTCGGCACCACTCTGCACTTACACAAACACAAATGACGTTTACCGTTGAATTGACAATGTCAATTTTCAATTTGACATAACGTAACAGATGATGAGATGACAGTTGTTTTTTGTTTGGCCAAGGCCAACGGCCATTTGTTTTAAAGCTTTTGGCTTTGATGCTTGTCTTTAAAGCAATGTCGTCATTTTATTCGGAGTCATTGTTTTTATAGGTTTTTACTTAATAACATGCTGATGCGTCATGTGTCACATTGTGAAGAATTTGAGAGATTTTGATGACAGCTCAACCCACAGGGTATTTATTAAAAATAAAGTCGCGTAAAAACACACCTAATCGGTAATAATCTTATCAGTTTGTTTGATTTTACTTACCTCTGAGTATGTATTTTTAAATATTATTTTAAGTTAGAAGTATTCTCGCTGGACTTTATAACTTTAAAACAAATTTAACATTTCGGTGTATATCGATCTACTTTCCTAAAATACTTCCACACATCACTTTGTCCTCCGCCAGGAGGTGGCATTCTGAAGAAGCAGAGTACCTGAGTCAACAATTAAAAAGAACAAGAAAAGAATTATTTATTATTATCATTAAATAATAACAAATATTGATAAATTTCTTAACAAATAGTCTTCTACTCTAATTATTTGTGACAAAAGAAACACACTTATATCCAAATATTTTTCGTTACTATTCTATTATATTCATTCATCAAAATTATGAGATTGCTACTAAAAGTATAATATATATTTACCTGGTTACACACGTAATATTTAAGCTATAATAGGGTTTTCCCCCGAAATCCTCAATCCATCGAGAATCAAGAGGGACGACGCTATAGCTGAGAACAAATTATCGGACGCGTCCGTCAGCCACGGCTGCCAGCCGCGGCTTAGCGCTGTGCACGGTAGCTGAGACGGCGTCCTCGGACGCTTCGCTTCGGTCATTCCAGAAAGGTTTTGTCAATCGAGAAACATGACAAACAGTGACAGCGAGGACGAATTTATAAAGTTAGCGGCAGCTGCTTTATGTCGTCCTCCAAAAAATAGGGGACCCAAACACTCCTTGTCCATGATATTAATGTAAAACGACTCGAGTATGATGAATTTCATACATTGTATCCAGACTTACAAAAAGATGATAAACGTTAAAAAATGTACTTATGAATGTACTAATATGTACTTATAAATATAGGCACTCGTGGCCATGAACACATTCAATTAATTTTTTTTTTCATTACACATCATGTCGCGAGCGCAGTTGGTTCGCTTGTGACACTCGAAACGTCCGCGGACGCGTCCCGTGCCCCGTTTACACTGTCCGCGGACGCACCAAAAATCCAGCCGGCCAGATTCTGTTCGGACGTCCGAACGCTCAAGAGCGACGCAAGGTCATGTCCGCGTCTTACGGCCGATAGTTTGCACAGTGTAGTATTAAATGTACTGGCTAGATCTCAATAAGCCGCGGCTGTCAGCCGCGTCCGTCAGCCGCGTCCGATAATTTGTTCTCAGCTTATAAATCTGAAAAGGAAGTACGGCATCGTAACAATTGGTGTCAGAAGTGGGATAAGTTCACGCCGATTTTACCGAAGGACGACACGGAGGGTGTCCGTACCCGAAGTCAACGCCAGGAAAAAACGGACCAGAGAAGATTTGGTGGTGCAACGCCGCAAGTGTCAGAGGGCCAACTGCCGGCTACGCAGGCAAGCCCATCAGCAGCTCCTACACCTGCAGCACCCGACTTAGGTGCTCTCATAATTATGCTGCAGGAATAGGCTCGCCGATTAGAAGAGCAGCTGCAGCGCGGACAGGAGGAACAGGTCCGTCAGTCGAGAGAGCAGCAGGAGGAACAGACCCGCCGTTTGGAAGAGCAGCTGCTGAGTGGACAAGAGGAACAGGCCCATCGGTTGGAAGAGCAGCAGGAGGAACAGGCCCGTTGACAGGAGGAACAGGCCCGTCAGTTGAATGAGCAGCAGGAGGAACAGACCCGTTTAGAAGAGCAGATCAAACGTGATAAGGAAGAGCAGATGCTCCTCATGAAGGACCTTTACGCTACCTTCGGGAAAGAGATAAGGGAGGTGAAGGATAGGGTTGCTCAACGTGACAGCCTCTATTGGAAGCTGAAACCCGAATCGACCAAGTGAACAATCGGGTTGACAACGTGGTGGCTGACGTGAAGAAAACGCTGGACGACCTCAAATTTGGGGATGGAATTACAGCTCCCGTAATAGCTACAACACCTTCGCTACGTGGATTCAAAGTTCCGCCGTTCAACGGGACTTTTTCCTGGTCAGCCTACAAAATCCAGTTCAAGGCTGTCGTGGAGGCGAACGGCTGGAATAAAAGTCAGGTCATGACTGCACTCACCTTACTTCCCCAAGCATTAACTATTTTTGGAAGCTCTCGGTAAGAAAGTGACTTACGAGTAGCTCCTTGAGGCATTGGAGGCGAGATATGACGACACTCAGGAACACGTCTTTCGTGCGCAACTTAAAAATCGCGTGCAATGCATCAACGAAAACCTGCAGCAGTGGGCACTAGAGGTGGAGAGGCTGGTTCGAAAAGCACACCGGTCTGTACCTGTGCTCAATGAAGGGAACCTAGTGGAGACATTCGTCGACGGTATCCGCTACCTTGAACTCAGAGCTGCTGTGAGGCTCGGGCATCTCGAGACGCTTAAGGATGCCTAGGCCTCATGCACTGGAAGTGGAAGCCATGCGGCAGGATCATCTTCCCATTGTGTCAGGGAGGTTGCAGCAGCTACAGTTTGCGACCGCAATATTGGATACAGCCCTCGGTGCTATGGCTGTTGGGAAAGGGGCCATTTTTGATACAGCTGCCCTATGCGAACTGTAGAAAGGGAAGGTGATCGATATCGAGAGGGTAGAGCTGCTAAAAGGACCGCCCAGCAGCAACAGAGAAACAAGTAAAAGCCAGGACTGCGGGTCGGGTGCTGGTTGATGTTAAAAGAGCCCAAGGATCTCGATCTCATAAACCCACGATGGGAACAGCATAATCATCAATGGCGAGATCAATGGAATGCCATGTAAACTGACCATAGACACTGGAGCCTCTCGCACGGTTGTTCCCAACTTATAGTCAGTCCCTTAAGGACACCGCATACAACTGGGAACGCATTTATTTGGTATAAACCCGTCTGTGGAGAGAAGGAGATGGAGCTTGGATGGAGTTGAAGCTAGGCAACGTGATCTACCTGTATAATGTCATCGTGGCTGATATAATGGACCACTGCATTCTGGGCCTAGACTTTATGAGGAATAATTGTTTTGAGATCGACGTTAAGCAAGGTGTTCTGAAATGTGCACAGGAGGAACTTTTTGTGGAAGGGGCGTTACCAGGGAACATGTACGTAGCCTTCAGAAGATTGTTCTTCCACCGAGATCGGAAACGATTGTGCCGGTTGGTCTTCCTCGGTACCCTGGGCAAGCTCACCGTTGTGTACTCGTGGAAAGGGTAGACAATGACCTTCCATGGAAAGTAGCTCGAACCTTGGTCAGAACCAATGATATCTCAGGAGTACGTGTGCTAAACCTTTGTGACCAGGAATAGCTTATAGAAAAAGGCATACTGGTTGGTACTTGTGAGGAAGTGGATTGGTTGCGTCGGTGCCAATATCCATCGAGTGAGACCCCCAGCAAGGATGCACAAACGAGAGTGACCACACTTTTAGTAGACTGTCGCAGTGTTCTCTCCCTGAATGAAATGGTCGAGGCAAAGAAGTTGTTACTCAAGTACGCCGAAGTATTCTCGTCAAACATAGGAAAGACTGGCTTAGTTCAACACAAAATAAACACAGGAGAAGAATTGCTGATTTGTCAGCGGCCAAGAACCATGAAGTGACCATGATTGAGGGAATGGTGTAGGATGGTGTTATTGAACTTTCATCTAGTCCATGGTGTTCACCCGTGGTGCTGGTAAAGAAGGACGGCAGCAAGCGGTTTTGTTTTGACTACCGCTGTCTGAACGACATTACAAAGAAGGACAGCTACCCCTAGCCAACAATTGATAACACGCTGGACATGCTTACAAGAGTAAAGTGGTTTAGCACGTTAGATCTAAAAAGTGGCTACTGTCAAGTTGAAATTGGCCCTAAGCACAAGGAGAAAACTGCGTTCTCGACGGGAAAGGGTCTGTGCAGTTTAAAGTAATGCCGTGTGGATTGTGCACTGCTCCAGCAACGTTTGAAAGGTTGATGGAACTTGTACTTACCGGGCTAATTGGCGATTCCTGTCTGGTCTACTTGGATGATATGATAATGATATGATATATGGCATCAACGTAGGCCGTACGTTTGAAGAACATCTTCAAAACCTGGAACGCGTGCTTATGAAGATTCAAAGTGCCAACCTGAAGTTGAGTCTGAAGAAATGTTCACTATTCAAACGGCAAGTTAACTTTTTGAGGTATGTATTGTCGGAACCGGAAGAAGGTATCCGCATGGATCCAGAGAAAATCGCCGCTGTCAAGGATTGGCCGTTTCCTAACGACAACAACGAGTGACGGAGTTCGAGCATTTTTTGTGTTTGTTCTTCTATTATCGGCGATTTGTGAAGAACTTTGCAACCGAGGAGAAGCAAGTATATCATGGTTGTGATGGATTACTTTATTAAGTGGCCAGAAGTCTTCGCCATTCCAAATCAAGAAGC